TATCAACCACAAATACGTCTGTTTTCACGCGTACTATATTTTAATCATTAAACCATATCAATAGTTTCATTTCAATATAAAGTTTTCAATGAAAAATATCTAACAGAGGGAAATGGAACGAGATATTCCGATGATTGCAGGCTTCAATTCTGCTTGTGTCCTTGAATGTTTCATTGTATATTTTCTTTTTTATTTACTTTTGCTATATTATCAGTACAAGCACAACGTTCTGCATTATCACACTTACCTACCCAGCGATTTCAAGTTCTCAATTATTAACCTGCAACATTCGAGGCTTTAAACTTTATTTTGCGAGATTTTAATTAAAAACCTGAAAACACTCATTATTTATTTTAGTTGGACTAATAATAATCCTTTAATAGTAATGACTTAAACTGACGTAAAAGATGTTCAATAAACTTATAAGTAATTAATATTTCCTTTATCGTATCTGTGTACAGGTGTTTTAAAACGATTCAAACTTGTAAAAAAGTTACTTCTATTAATTAAAAGGCAAAGAAAGGTGTATAAATTACAATAAGAATCTATATTTTTTGTGCCTTCTGAAATATGAAAGTTAATATGTGAACGAATAAATAGTTTTTTCTAAAACACGACAAGGTACAAATCTTGTAAAAGACAACAAATAAGTTATATTATCACAATATTTATTAGAACAAAAATATTGGTATATAATAGCTATATTAATTGACCATTGTTGACTGAGCATTACAAGTCGTATAAGCGAATTATAGCGAAACAAAAACTATATAACAAGACATTTACAAGATAAGTACAAAATAACATTATTATATTCTGCTATTACATTTACTTTATTTACTCTCATTAGGTAAGACACAAAGAGAACATAAAGAATTATATATATTTGTAAAATGTTTAACATTTCAAGGTCCTTACATGAATTAAACACTTCAACCACATGGCTAGCATTCTAGTGTTCATTACGACTGTGATAATGCCGAGAATGGAAACTTTGTTATTACATCTGACCTTACAACCCGAGATATCTGGGACGGTACAAATAAATATCAGGAGGTAATAAATACATATCATAATAATCATATCGTATCATATCATATGTCAACTGATTTATGTATCATAAAAAATATAGATTGAAAATAAATCAAAGAATGTTGGAATCTTATCGCAGACAGTAACGTAATTTCTGAACTGATTTTTAGATTACCTAAATGGACTACATTTTTAATCTATGTTAATAATTAGAAATCATTGTTTTTTATCTTTGTATCTGTTTTTCTAGATAGTTATTGTATTTTTCATATGTTTGATATTAGGTTATTCACCGTTATATTATTTATTACAAAATTATTTATTTGCAATAATGTCTGCAGTAACTATATAAAAATAAAATATTAGTAATAATTTTGACATTTGCTAGATCAATAACTTATTCAAATACAATTTTATCATTGTGAGACAAACGAAATCTTTTTTTGAATGTACAAATTTATATTATTTTGTTTTTATTCTTTTACTTAACTTGAACGAAAGCTAAGTCTGGTTTCTTTTTTTAAATATTTGTCATCGTCAATTTGGCATTCATTATCAGAGAAGATATTTTAGAACACTGATTACATAATAAATTAATTGTTATATGTTTAGAAATTAATAATTTGTTACTTTTGTGAAATATGTAAAAGAGAAAATACATTATGTATTATAATTGTCATTATTAGCTATATTCACAAAGGGAATTAAATGTTTAAACACTTTGATCGTTAAAACAATAGCCTTTATGCTACTACTTCTGAAAATCTACAAAGACATGACATGTATGTTCAATGCGATTCAGATACTATAATATGTATTATCTGCTATTTTTGATGTCAGTCTGAAGTCGGCCGTCCGCGCGTGCGGTTCTTGCGTGCACACGTTAAATGACATGGTTTCTCGTATAAAATATTGTTCACCATCGTGATAAGTGTATCCTATAATTATAAGTTACTTAATAAAATCTCTGAATGGCATTAAGAATGAGTACAAGGTAATTTTTTATATATACATATTATGTTTAATTCATTTTATATGCACGATAGTATTTGCGACGCCAAATTTTATTTTTGGCGCCACAACATTGATAATATGATATTTGCAATTACACAAAAGACGTTATATTAATAGATCTTAATAAAATAATTCTAACAAAGAGAGTTTTAATATTGAAATATCGTGGAGGAATTATTGAATTGTTTTAAATAAACTCGAATTAAATTACCATTGTTATATGAGTGATTTAACAAATTTTGAGTTGTAAGCAAAATATAATATTGTTTTACAACACAATTTGTATTTTGACCGGAGTACAAACCGTACGTCCGCGACACAGAAAATTTGTTAGTGAGTCACTCGCGTAAGAAAATTCGAAGTCAGTACAGGTCAAACATTTAGAATGCAAGTGTACTATATACTTTTAATTACCGCTTAATACTACTTATTTAATTCATTGTTTTATATAATTTATAACATATACAACTTTAATGCGCCATTTTATATTGAGTGATCAAATATCTTTAGATATCAAGTTTTCTGAATGATTTTTATTAAGATATTGAATATGAATATAAGTTTAGAAAAAAATTATTTATTGGTCCATATTTTGCTAGCGACTTTTTCTATAAGAACTCTATCGATTATTATGATTTATTGATATGAGTTTCTATAAAGTATATAGAAAACGATTAATGTATTAATAATTTTATCACAGTAATTATAATATATTAAAACCATGCCGTAAAAGTTTGAATATAAACAAAATATGAGTGTCATTTGGTAAATTTAATTTATTTATTGTAACCATTATTAAAGCGTGATTTATTATAACTTTTTTTATTGTCTTTTCGATGTCCACCTCATGTTCGTATGTTCAAATTTTCTATTTATGTCCGTTTCACCAAATTCGCCTTCCGCTTCTGATAGGACCCGTGAACTTCGGTTAACCTTAACCCTGTATCGCGAACATAAAGATGTTACAGTGTCCGATTTATTATATGGACCGACCAAAACGATTACAGCGACCTCTTATCGGTGAATTCTGATAACATAAAAAAAATATTTTGACGTATATGACCATACTTATCGATGTTAAGAGTTATATTTGAAACAAATAAAAGCCAGTGTATATATTTCAGGTGTTTTTATTGTGTCTTATTTTTTTAATGAAACGAAATAGATCATATACATATGATTCACTAAAAAGATGTTTTTAGTAAAATTAACCTGATTTAAAATATTTGACTGTATTGTTTCCAAACGAATTAATCAACCAAATAATAATATAAATATAAAAATATAAAAATATAAATAAGGTTTTGGTTTTAGTATTGAGACTAAATTAACAGAAAATAAAAAAACTTAAAAGATATATGTAGCTTAATAAGAACAGTTGACAAAAGATATGTTTTTAATAATCTGTCCCATCAAATGTTTCATGACAATACTGGCTGACTATTCAATGGTTCAAACAGTAATTTTTTAACATAAAAAAATGGTTTCCTTATTTTTCTTTCGGACTAAAAAAATTTACTCTTTTTTAATTTGAAGTGATTGGAATTGTTAGGAGAAAACTGTCTTCCATTATTAATTCATGACAAATTAAACAGATCAATGTAGATAATTGCACCAATTTATAACTTTCACAGAAACAAAAATGTTTATAAATATAATATTCCGGGAAGTAAGAAAATGTGAGGTTTCTTTACTCTGCAATCTAAAAATGATTCAGTACACCGTAGCCATTAAATTGATCATAGTTAATATATAATATTTGTGAATACTTCAAATATAACTGTAATTAGGTATCTTTTATTTGATTGTCAGCGGAAAAAAATAATGTCTTTTATTTAAAAGCATACATATAGTACATATATATGTTCAATTTTAAGAAAACTTATCGCATATAAATTTCCTAAGATTCTTTAATTTTTTTTGATTAAAACTAATAATATATAACTGTACTTTGTACTCCCAAGCTATTATTTTTTTATATTCTAGACAGCAATAAATATAATTTTTTTAGTATATAAAAAGTATATAAGCAAAACAAAGTTGAACAACACTAACCCATAAACTTTATTATGGATTCTGGATATACCGGGTTAGAAGGCTTAATAAAGCTTTCGTTTGTACCACGTCCGTAACTTTTACTTTGAAACTAATATCGAACATGAAAGGTAAGATTATCTGATCTCGAAAATCTCGATCACGAAATAATCCCTCGAGATAGAACCTTTATAATAAACCCTTTCAGCAAAACCGACGATCACCTAAAAATATATATATTGTTACTACCGTATTGTTATCCTTATCTGGAATTCCAATAAGAGCGATCGATCAATTTAGTAATATACTAGAACCTTGAGCCTAGCAACAAGGAAAAAATGTGATACAAGTACTTTAACAAATCAATCAATATACAAATATGTATGTTGATAACAAATACTTCATATATCTATATATAAAATACACCTTCTCATCTGTTAAAGATCTTCTTAAATAATAAGGTCATTAATTCTTCTTTAAATTTTCTACATTGATTACACTGTATTGTGTCATATTAAAGTGAATTTTACTTATCAAATATATGTCTAGACTGTCTTAAAATATAACATTTATCTTTTAAAATATTCGTAAGTTATATAAATATATTTTATTACACGTTTATGTTCTGTAAATTATAACTAATACTTATTTGCTTTTGTTACAGATAATATGCCGAAAATGTTCTTCTTGGAAAAACGATTATCATATCAAGATAATGAACCTGAGATAGGTTGTACCACCATAATCTTATATAGATCATGAAAACTTTATATTGTCATTTATACGGTTGAGTCTCCCTCCGAAACGTTGCTTCCTTAATAAGTATATTATTATATCATTGTTAAAGTGCCTATATTTACCGTTCAAAATTCGTTATAAACCGCCTTAAATAGTATAGTGCAAATAAAGCTTTAATCACGATGTCGCACGGTACTGTGAAGAGTGTGAAGAAGAATGGTTCTCAGGTCGACGAGAGTTCCAGGGAGGGTTCAGAGAGCCTGCCTCCCCCCCCAGACGGAGGTTGGGGTTGGATGGTCGTCTTCGCTTCCTTTATGATTCATATTGTCAGTGAGTATTTTTCATTACTTCTTATTCCTTTTAAAATTAAATTATCAAAATAAAATTCAATAACATAATTTTAAACTTATTTTGTTCAATGTCGTTCTGATCACTGTCGAAATTTTCCTTATATATATATACAGGATGACTGGTGAATTACTATCAATATTTAAGGAGAATACTTGGTACATGATTCTCATTCGAATTATGTAAAAACATAGGCACTTAATTTTTGACAAAATTTCCGTATAAATAAATAAAGTGTTGACACGTTCCAAGTGTTCCAAGTGTGGACGCGGGCGGCGGCGTGCTGATACAACACCACGCCGCCGCCCGCGCGTGTGTGTGTGTGTGTGTATACCTAATCTGTAGGGTGTTCACACGATGCGTAATTAATTACATAACTTTTGGTTAACTTTACTTAGAAGTTTATTAATATTTATGTTATATTAATTTTTATTTTGTCATATATGATCGTCAAATATGACGTCCTCAAGTATCGATAGTAATTCACCAGTCACCCTGTATAACATCAATCTACTCTTAGCATCGCTTTAACTTTTGGCCTTACAAACATAAACACCAATAAACACAATGAGGATGGAAAAATCTATTCGTTTAGTATTCATACGCGGATATGAATAAAACTTGTTAACATAATTCAATCGATGCCAAAGGAATTTTTATATTGTAGATAATAACAACATAATTACTATATACCATTGTTTACTAAGTCCTTCCGTAGTTGTAAACGTGCTCTAATAAATAATGCATCGTATGACATTTATGTTGGTATAAAAATATAATATAATATGTAGAACTCAGATTTCTTTGTACCGCAAGCCGATAAACAACTCCTCTTGCAAAGTCTGTGGTATTCATTAAGGAAAATATATATAAAATCAGCCTAAGTAGGCAAGTGACCTTTTTGTGGAATCTTACTTCCATACCTTTCTGTGAACTCAAAGTAACAGAAAGAGACCTTTCCTAACTCAATCGTCTCAGGAACAAAGGATTCTATATATTCCGAATATCACAGAAAATATGACTTCCAAGGCATTAGATGAAATTTTTGTCATTTCTGTAGGAATAGAAATGACACTTGAACTGTTTTAGAACTTGGCTTTAATAATATTCATTTTGCTTTTAGGTAAACAGAACCTCATTATCAAATTTCGTTCAAGATTAGAGATGCTAATATTCCTTTAAATTGTTTAATACAGAAATTTGAAATTTAAGACGTGTTGTAGAAATTCATAATTGTTAAACAACTAACTTTATCTCTACTCTTACATAATTGAACATATTATTAGATAACTAGACTTTCGTACAAAGAACAATATTATCTTTTAGTATTTTTTTAAAACTATTAAAATCATGAGTCTTAGAGTTTTAGACCAATAAAGAATGTCAAAGGTATATATGTAATTAGAATGTAAAAGAAATTAATAGTAACCTAAACCTTATTACAGTAAAAAAAATTCTTACCTGTACATATACTCTAAGAAAGGAAAAAACGAAGTGATTTTTGTTCTTACGCAATCTACATTCTCTTTTTCATTTATATTTAGAATAAAACCGCCAACTTCCTTTACCTTTTCACATTTCCCTACCACTGTTATCTTTTCCCATTTCCCTATTACCGTTATCTTTTCACATTTCCTTTTATTATATCCTTCACGTTCATTCAATTTTTTTATCGAAAACTATATAGGAAACACGGCTTCTGTTATTTAAATTTTAAATGATGAGACCTTATTTGTATAGCACTAAGCTCTCGATCAGAAAATCTCATCTTTTTCACTATCCAAGGCCTAAATTGAGCAAATTAATTGTGTTCTTAATTACGCAATAGATAAGGCAAATTACAAAAAAAGGATTAAAATTACAACACTTTCATTTAAGTAATGCTGGAAAAACCGTAATCAGACTTACAGAAATGTAAATATTTTTAAGCCTTGTCATAAATGTTGTTATAAAAAAATTATCTTGGACTTAACTTTTATTATTATAACAATATATTAATTTAACTAGCTTTCCGCCCGCAGCTTCGCCCGCGTTGTATTCGGTTATATCGCGTTTCCAAGAGAATCTTTCAAAAGTCTGGGATAAAAAATATCCTATGTTCTTTCACAAGGTCAACTCTATCTCTGTACCAAATTTCATTACAATAGGGTTCAGCGGTTTAGACGTGAAAGCGTAACAGACAGACAGACAGACAGAGTTACTTTCACATTTATAATATTAGTAGAGATATACAACTTTTAAAATATATAAAGCTTATTTGAAGTGTTTTCTATTGGCTGCAATATAGTTCTTTAAACGTTGAAACCAGTTATCAGTAGTAGCACGCGCTCTGTCTATGGTAAAATTCCGCATTTGGTATCATATGGATTGGTTTAGGGATTCCAAAATTTCTAGATGTTTTAATCCAGTTGCTTAGGTTCAGGACTAGATTACGGGTAGTTCCAATGAAGTCAGGAATAATAATTTCTAACCAAGATTGGATGATAAATTTTTATAACCCTGCGGTGAACCTGACTGAATGGTTGATTGCTATTGGTTATGATATAACATGGAGTTGTTAAAGACGTAACTATCTTCCAAGAATCTTGATAAACTTATACCCATGTTTTGATAGTTTTTTCAAATACATGCCTCGGTCTCTCCTCCATAACTAACCTCTTAATAAACTATGACTGAAGTCAGATAGTGCCTGCGTCTTAATCTGTTGACTTAAAGATATTTTTGTTTAAGTGTAACATTTTGTTCATTTTGCTCAATCATAATATTTTGTCATCCATAAACCTATTTTGTTAATAAATTCGCTGAAATATTTTTAGCTTTCAGCGACCTAACTTTGAATATCGCTTGAATAGTTATATTGAGTTAACCAGCCTTTTCTTTTTTAAATTAACTGTCAAACAATGATAGCAAGTCTTCTATAGGCTGCACGTTCTATTTATTTGCATTATGGTCATAAATGCATGACTCTCAGATCTTTTCTGTCACAAATTGAGAAGATTTCATAAGAGTACCAATCAATTTACAGGGCTACTGACTAATAATCTTAAAGGTGGTAGAGCCTAGCTGTGGTGAGTTACTACAGCTCGAACATGGGCTGGCTCGACCGGGGAAGTACCACCCTCTCACAGAAGATCGGCGTGAAGTAGCCTTTACTGGCTGCGTTTCGTCTGATGAGTGAGAGAGCCGGTTGCCCTGTCCCTATTCCTACCCTTTCCTTTAATTTCCTTATTCCCACCCCTCCCTATCCCCAAAAAACAAGGTTGGCAACGCCCATGTGGTTACCGTCGCCCATGGACATCCGCAACATTTTGTTGCGGATGTCCATGGGCGACGGTAACCACATCCCATCAAGTGGGCCGTCTGCTCGTTTGCCACCTTTCACATAAAAAAAAATAATAATAATAATAATACCGTATTGAGGATTTAAAAGTTTTATATTAAAATCCATAGTACTTTATATAATCGCAGACTTTTCGTTACGTTTATCTTCCCCACACTAATTCAATATTAAAAAATATTTTACAATATATTGCTGAAAAAATAAGAAAACTTAATTATGTAACAATCGCATAAAACTGTTTGGCGCCAAACATAAAAGTGACACTTTGTTTATTTTGAATTACAGTATTTATAGCTACACTTATTATACCATATATTTTTTTCTTTTCGTAATATCTAATTAAAAATTTTGACATTGGCATAGAATATAAATTGTATAAACTACTATTTACCATTATTCATTCAGGAATCCAGAACAATGCAACATTTTTCTTCAACGACAGTAACAGATTTATTATAACCTTGAAGGCTTTCACGTTTTATATATACATTATCTGAATTGTTAATTTAAAATGTTTAATGTATTAGCAATACACGTGGTTTACCTTCAGCCACACGTGTTAGTGAATACAAACCCATTTGGTTACACCAAGATTTTATATATTACAGTAAAACTCAACACAAATTACATGTAGTACCATTTTACAAGAATATAAAATGAAGACGTAATGGATAAATACACTATGAAACAATTCCATGAATTTACTTTTTATTTTTGAATCACATTTAAATTATTTTGTGACAATGATTAAAAAATTACTTAGTGATATATAAAAGTTATTAAATATACTGACAATATGAATATTAATATATATAATAACTTAATGATAAGAAGTCTGTATATATATACATATATAGCACGATAATTTTTAATTATATAATTATATCACTGGAGATATAAATACGAGATCATTAAATATATATACATACATACATATTTACAAACGTTTTCATTACAATATCAATTTAATGTATGAATAATACTGACTCATAAATCGAATAAACACATTATGCTCCCAATCATTTGTCATATAAACATATATATTTAGTGTGGCATTTGCATATACGTAGATAATTAATGTGCATATGCAGATATGAATGTGTGCAAAGTCCTCCGATATCAATGTGTGTGTAACCGCAGTGACACGAGGTCATCGCCATTTAATAATAACACCAACAAATCTGTTTACTGACGTGTTTATAAACGTAATGTATCGTATTAAAATGATCAATTTAGGACACTCCTTTTTGGGACAATCATTTAAATTTTCGCTAGTGATATCTTCTGAGAATGTTACTAGTGATACATAATGTTTTAATTGTAATTGAAAATTGAAAGTTTCGTATAACTTCCTAATAGAAATAAAAAAATATATAAATCATTATTATTTGTAAGCTATATTTGTATCACATATTAGTTTAATGTATAAATCCTTCTGCTTTTTTGTTTGACTATTAATTTATCTCGTTATGGATAAACGGTTGAATCGATTCCAGTTTAATATTTTTAATTAGAACTACTTTTAATAAAAGTAAAAATAAATTTATAAACTTCAGTAAAGTACAATAATTATCAAAAATAAAAAAAGATTCATGAAAATTAACATCTGTTAAAATCCTTCTATACGAAAATTAATACTTTA